CTGGAGTTCCGCTCCTTACAAGGGACTGCAATCTTTCATCTTGATCCTTGATCCTCCTCATCATTGCTTCCATTTGACCCCTCATTTCATTCATCTGCCTGGTGGTGGACTCCAATGCTTTCTCTCTTTGGTTCAATGCACCGGTCACTTCAACCACCTGGTTCGTGCGATCAATCACTAAAGCCTTCAATTGCTCAATCTGGTTTTGGTAATTAGCAACCTCTTGATGAGACTGATTCACCAAACGGGTAGCTTGACCTTGGGTTTGACGGACCAGTTCATGGGCTTCTTCTTGAGACTGCTGAACCATGTTCCTGGCAGTGGGTTCTACCGCCTGGATTTGAGACCTGGCTTGGTTTTCAATGGATTGAACTTGTCTCTGGATTTGGGCTTGAGCATTCGATTCAATACCCTGGATCTGCTGAAGGGCTTGGTTCCTAAACTGGCTCTCCATTGCTTGGACATACTGAGCAGTCTGGTTCCTAGCATTGGCTTCAACTTCAGAGGCGTATTGAATGGCTTGACCCTGCACTTCGGACACGACCTGGTGAGCCTGAGCTACTACCAGAGGGTTCAAATCCAAGAGATTGACTGATCTGGCGGTGAATGAGACGACTGGTTGCTTTCGAACACAATCTGTCTTGCATCAATCTGACCAATAGTCGGTTGCTGGTATTCAACATCCGTCCTTGCTGTTGGGTTTCCTTGATTACTTTGAACCATCGATGAGTGAGATGTTTCTGTCAGGGATGACACACTCGTATCTTGGATAGGAGTTGCAACGGCTTCCCCAAACATGACAATCTGTTCACTCTCCGGTGAACCATGCGCACTTCCTACTGATCCCTCCATCGCTTCTTTTCCAAAGTTCCAAAGATCAAACGACGTCTACTCGGCTGCAATGAAATTCGTAACTGCCTCCTTCGTCCAGCCGTCGCTCAACCAATTGGCGTATGGATACGCTGACCCGCTGTCCAAGCTCCTCTTCCGTGAAAGCTTAATGTGAATCCCTGTTGCCCTGTCGGTGGCCAAAGTGGCTTCCAACTCAGATAGGATATCAGCACTGTCGTCGATCAAACAACAAGACAAGTGATCTCCCAACCGTTCGGCAAATCTCGAGATAACTGCAGCCTTCCCTGTCGGACCCTCCGGCTCGAACGTACAAATGATCCCGTCAAACAAGTGATGAATCCCTTCGCTGCGACTCCAAATATCCTTGCACGCTTGATAGCGCCCCGAACTCCCAATGAAAGAAAGAACGAAAACAAATGGAATACGCTCGTGATCCAACGCAAACTGTCTGAACTTCTCAATCGCCTCAATGTTCTCGACTCCCACGCGACCTGTCTGTCTGCAAGTATCGCTGTGATCCCTGTCAAGAACCTGATGGTGATCAACAAAAAGGACCTTAACCTGGCCAATGTCTGCAACTGCTCCCAAATGCACTTCCTGTGACTCCCAACGAGTATAGCGCTCCGCTGCCTCAAAGGTAAGGAAATGTACCGTGTCCGGCAGAACAATCGAGACTTGAACTGGCTCTGGCCTCCGCGGCGGTGCCTTAGCAAATGCCTTTGGCGTAAGGCCAATCACTGCAGGCGGTACCGGAACAGCGGGCTCAGGCCTAGGTGGCAGTGCCGAAGCAGCTAACCTATGCGCCTCCTCGAATCGAGCTCTGTACGTTTGAAGAACCTCCTCAACAATCGTCACCCGACTCTGTGCGCAAAAGTTAAACGACGTAACACCGTTCAGCAAATGCGGATGTGTCAACGCAAAATGCCCCTCAGCCACGCCCTGGCGAATAAACGCCCTCTTCTGTGCTCGGCCGCTCTTTCCAGAGCGAGGGAACCTCAGAAGCTTGTGGAGCTCCTCGTACTCGGGATGCTCCGGGTCAGAATAGCCCCCCTTCAGGCGGGGGTGGACCAGTGGGTTCAGTCGGTCGACGTGAACCAGATGAAGATGCGATGGCTGCAACGACGGCCAACAACCGATCGCAAAGCGATACGGCTGATAACCAAAAGAACACAGCAGCCGCCCTTTTTCCCACAATCTTGAGCCAAACATGTCCGGTGAAGTGAAACGTCAATGACTGGATCATGTGAAGGCTACATTCATCAAGATTCCTATGACTTGCATGTCACGTGAAACTAAATTCTTTACAGTGCTTGGTGACACATCGAATGCGAATCTTGCCTGCAAAGATGCTCTTTGGTTGTTCAAGGACTGCTTCATGGACTGCTTCCCCTGGCGTGCCAGATGCATCGACCAGGGTGCATTGCTAGTGGATTATGGGTGGTGGTTTCACCCCATGTCTCTCTCCTTATATTATACATAGTTGTACGGTTGGACCCTCAGGCTGACAGGTCAAAGTCTTGGAATCGCCTGCAGTGCAACGCCCTTGGTGTCTCTGCGCTTTTCTAACATCAATGATCAAGGTCTTGCCACCGGGTGGTAGTTGCAGTTCAAATCCCTTGGATGCCATAATTGAACAAGCGTTCGTTCGTTGATGTTCTTTGTATTGGTTCCATTTTGTTCCAACCCGTTGGAGGTGAGGGTCGCAAAATGCAGGAAGCACAGCCTGTAGCGGCTGTAGCGCTGTAGCGCTACCACCTCTTCAACGACTTCACAATGACCTCTTCAACTGATGTCGCCCTCCTCTCTGAACGAAGCCGTGGAAATGTCATGAACGAAGCCGTGGACATGCCCGGCGCGTTCACGTTCAGCCTGTCCTTCCTTTGTGTACGAATGTAGCGAGCCCATCAAACCTCTGCCTCCTTTGATCTCCTATCCTAATTACTTGGTCTTCCCTGTCAAACATGTCTCCCTTTCAACTACTGTAGATCCATCTTGATTTACATTCATTGATTCATTTTCTATGTTCGGAGCGGTTTGCCAAACCATCATTTGCTGCTGCTGCTGCTGCTGCTCTGCGATTGTGGAACGGTTGCTGGTGCTGCACTATTCACCGATATCGTGTTCTGCGCACATTTTCGGCGAACCTTTCCTGGTTCTCAACTTGTTGGTCTGTTCTTAGACACCAAGTCTGATGCTGGGTCGTCACAACGGCATTTGCTTGCTACTGGCCATCAGCCTTGATACAACGCACATGGGTTGTGTATAGTGAACATGCAAGTATGTCGGATGATAAGGTTGTCTCGCACATTGCATGTGTGTGCATAGAGCCGGCCTACTAAATAGAAATGCAAAGAAGTCGAGAACCAGGGCTTTATACGTGTACATACCCTTCCAACCCTTTGGCATTGTCATCTTAGGCTTCGGCCAACAAAACAGTGGAAATGAATATGTAAGGAAACACAACTCCATCTGGATCGCGCATCATCTTAAAATATGTCATTGCAATTAATTGCATGTGTAAATATATAGTTGTTGATTTCACGCTGTGAAACCTGAGAACAGGTGATGACCTTTGTTTTTCGCCGCCGCTTTCCACCGCTCAAGGGCGGGCTTGCGCATGTCGGCCTTTTGTGGCTACGCTCCTTGGTGACGACCTTCACCAACCCGATCGCTCCTTGGAAAAGAGAGCGCCTTCCATTTGTGCCGGACTTAGTGTGCTGGCCGCCGAGAGATCGACAACTTCATTTTCCCTTTTCTACTTCACCTACACCTCCCTACAACACAACAGACACCCTGAGCTGCCAAATTGTTGATCTCAACATTGGTAGCGGAGCCCGGTTCGCTGCCGGGCTCCAGGAGCTGCACGCGAAAGAAATCATCCAGGGCACCTCAACCTGCGCTTCTTCGCCTTTGTTTTGATTCACTCCATCACGATGGCTGAATCACAAGCCTCATCGACCCAAGGAGGCCTTGAAGTGACAAGGGACAATTTCATCCCCTTGTTTGACAACAACATCCGCAATTACAAAGAATGGCGTGCACGAATTTTGCTGTATGGAAAGAAAATGAGCATCCAGAACAAAGCTAAGGAGGCCACGATCAATCTCTTGACGAGTTTGAATGGAGTTTCTTGGCGACAAGTCGAACCCGATGCCGAAAAGCTTGCAGAAAGTGAAGATGGCTTCCCTCGCGTGTTGGCCCTCCTCGACAAGTGCTTCAAGTATGACTCGAGGGTCGAAGCTCCCAGAAGTATGGAGATGTTTTTCTTCACCATGGGCCGACGCCCTGAGCAGACGCTTCTGACTTATGTGGCTGAGCACAAAGAGCGACAACGTGAAATCGAACGCCACGGCATCAAAGTGCCAGATGCCATCAGCGGATGGCTTCTCCTGAGAAGAGCTGGTTTGACCTTGGAACAACGCCACCTTGTGATGTCGCAAGTTGGAAGTGACACCGAGATCGCCAAGGTGGAGAGTGCATTGTTTTTCTTGTTTGGACAGGATTTCAAGACTTCATCCTCCACCCGCTGGACTGGTCGCAATTCAAGTTCATCCTGGAAAAGCCGCAATGTTGGCCGAGCTTATACAACAGAAGAATATCAATATGATGATGAAGAGTTCGACTATGAGGCCTACACCTTGGAGGAGGAGAACCCCGAGCTCGACTACTTCCCTGAGGAAGATGAGCGCACCGAAACAGGTTTCTATCAGGAAGAACCCAATGAAGACGAACACGCTTTCCTGGAAGAAGAGTGGGACGAAGAAGTTGAGACTGCCTACGCAACCTATTTGGATGCCCGCAAGCGGTTCTCAGATCTAAAAGCCTCTCGTGGGTTTTGGCCTGTCTATGCGGTACCTCCCACTTCATCTCCTATGGCTTCAAGCTCAACAGCACCTTCAACTCCCTTTCCGCCTTCTTCAAAAGGAAAAGGGAAGAGTAAAGGCAAGAACAAAGGAAAGAACAAGAGCAAGAGCAAGAGTCCATCCAGGAATTTGACTTCGCGGACACAAAGTGCTGGATACAATTTGACCTGCTTGAAGTGTGGCCAAGCTGGACATTGGGCTGCGCAATGTCCCATGAACACCTCATCGCCGAAGAGTGCTTCCACCACCTCATCGCCGAAACGACAGAAGAGTGAAGCTGCTATGATGGCCTTGCCCGTCAATGGTTACACAGACGTCACCGCACAGGGCAAAGGTGTTTTTGGCATCTTGGATACTGGAGCAAGCAGTGTTGTGATGGGACACCAAACTATGCTCATGGTCCTCACCTACTTACAGAGTAATGGTGTTGACATTGGTTGCATTGAGTTTCGCCCCGCAAACAAGTTGTTTCAGTTTGGAGGAGACCATACTGGACATGCTGCTTGGTCGATCCACTTGCCGGTGATCATTGACACCAAGTCGGGACGAATCCAAGTTTTCATTGTTGATGGTTCCACTCCATTCTTGGTTGGTCGGCCGATTTTGGCCCACTTTGGCATCAAGATTGACTACCAGAAGGACACTCTGTCCTACAACGATGGACCTTGGCATGACGCTCAACGAGGTTCAAAAGGAGAATACATGATGCCAATGTTCCTTGATGGTCAAGAGTGGACACCCCAACTTTGGCATTTTGACCTCATGACCGACGACACCATTGAGAATGTCCCCGACCTTCATGACGGCACAGTTGATTTTCAGAGCTATTTGGAACAGACAGGTCGCTCTCCGGGTGAAGTGCTTCTCCACGTCAATGATGAGGACCTCATCGACGTCTCTGGACAAGACATGAACTATGATGAAGACCCCGGAGCTGTCTACAAGCCCGTTGGCCTGAAGTTGATGAAAAGCATACAGAACCAACAACAATATCAACTGGCTCAACAAAAGCATATGGTTCATCAAGCCCTGGCCGTCTATGAGAAGGGACAGCTTCAAAGTTGGGAGCTATACAGTGGCAGTGGCAACCTCAGCAAAGAACTCGCCAACCTTGGCCATGCAGTTCTGACCTTCGACATCAACAATGGTTGGGACTTCACTCAGCGTGCTCACCAGAAAGCTTTTCTGGACCTGCAAGAACAGATGGCACCTCGCTTTGTTTGGCTTGCACCACCGTGTCGAAAATGGAGCCCTCTTCAACGACTTCGATGCCGTGACCCATGGCAACGTGAAGTGCTTCAAGCGGAACGTGATGTTGAAGAGAACACGCATCTCCGTTTTTCAAAGAAAGTGTACTGCAATCAGCTCAAGCGCAAAGACCATGCCATCTTGGAGTCACCCAAACCTGCGGATAGTTGGAAGACAAGAACCTTCAAAAGCATGGATGAACAATGGTACAAAGGACACTTGGATCAATGTGCTGTCGGAGCTCAACTACCTGATCATGATGGACAATGGCTTCCAATCAAGAAGCCTACGACGTTGGCAGCGTCAGATCCCAAGTTGGCTGAGATGATCACGGCCACATGTCCTGGCTGTCCATGTCATCTTCCACTTGAAGGCAGTTCTCCGATGGTTGGCAATCGTGCTTCAGCTGCAGCAGTGTATCAGCCCTCCATGTGTCAACATCTGGCTCAAGCAATTCAGCACTTCTTGATGGAAGAGATCTATGTTGGTGAAGATGTTGAACCTGAGAAGCAAGAACAGCAATACCGAGGCATCATGAAGCGACTCATTCCCAAGAATGCCTCTGAAGCTACACGGACGATCGCTCGCCTACACCGGAATCTTGGTCATCCACCGAAAGCTCAACTCCGACGAGTTCTTCAAGAGCAAAAGTGCAGTGAACTCCTCATGCAGGCCTTGGAAGATTTTGACTGCCCCCTGTGTCAGCAGAGACAACCTCCACCACAAGTTCCGAAGACTGGACTCTACCGTGGCACGTTCTTCAATGACCGTGTTCAGGCTGACACTATGTGGTTGAAGTTGAAACGTGATGAATCTTCTCGACCGATCCCGATTTTGGTCATCTCCGACTGCACGACTCGTTTAGTAGCTGCTCGACTGTTGGCCTCCGAGACCACGAATGCCTTCATACAAGCATTGGAGCGCTCTTGGATTCGCCACTTCGGCACCATGAATGTTCTCCAGGTTGATGAACATCGAGCTTGGTGCAGTGATCAGATGCGCCATTGGGCATCAGAGCACAATGTGGAGTTGATGATCAGCCCTGGTCAAGCTCACGAGAGATTGAGCATCCTGGAACGTCGTCATCAAGTAGTTCGACGAGCTGTTGAACTTTTTCTCCTGGACACACAAGATTATACCGACGACGGCATCATCCAGGCTCTATGCTATGTGATCCCTCAAGTGAACAGGATGCCAAATGTTCATGGATTCTCTCCACTGCAATGGACAGTTGGCTATACTCCAAACTTGCCAGGTGCTATGATCGATGAACAAATCGCTCCTGCACAGTTGACTCCCTCAGAAGCCTTCCGACAGAAGATGCACTTCCAAGAGCTGGCAACACATACAATAGCAAAAGCAAGCAATGATGATCGACTTCGTCGTGCTCTACTTCGACAATACCGTGGTCGCACACAGCAATTGGTTTTGGGACAGCGTTGTCACTACTACAGGGACTTGCCAACTGGACAAGCTGCATTGGGTCCGAAAATTGTTTGGCGTGGACCTGCTGTTGTTGTGATGGTTGACGCTGAGCAGAAGATGTACTGGCTTGTGCATGGTACAGTGTTGATCCGAGCTTCATTTGAGCATACACGCCCCATCATCGACAACAACCAGTCAGATGTCAAGGACTCCTCAGGTCCAATGGATCGTGCACAACAAGCTCTCCAGCAGATTCGCGGTCGTGGAGTCACTCAATACCTCGACCTGTCAAGATCCAACAAGAGAAAGCTGGAAGATGTGCAATCGGATGAGGAGAAAGAAGAAGATGATGATATGCCCAACACTGAAGTCGCTCCACCAGAAGGTCTTCCTCCTGAACCTCCTGGACTCAAGAGATCATTGACCACTCACGATAGCGACGTCAGTGATGAAGCTGACAACAACTCGGAGTACACTCCAACTGAACCACCTGAAGAACCTGGACCTGCTAAAGTACCACGGATTGGAGTCGACGAACCACATTCTTCATCTTTGCCAATGCCCTTGGAGCATGAGAAAAAGGAAGGTGACCCTTCGGGGGATGTTTTGCCAAAAGCTGAAAAGCTTGCGAAAAAGGAAGGTGACCCTACGGGGGAAATCGATGAAAGTTATAAAGAAAAGGGCGGTGAAACTTTTGCTGAAAAGGCCAAGCGATTCAGTCAACAAGAGACCATTTCCTTTGGGCCAACCAGAGCAAAAGCTTCGACAGAGTCTCGATCAACTCCCTATGGCGACAAGCCTCTCAGCGATGACCTTGCACTCACCTCGCAGGAGATCGGCATTGATCTCTTGAATGATTGTCAGCTTCCTGATGGCTGGCATTGTAAAGATGGTTTTGTGGTCTTGGGAGAAGTGCACGACGTGTGGGAACTTCGTGGCAATCACCTCATCTTGAACCACTTCCTGCCACGAGTTGGAACATATACTCCGACCACAGAAGACTGCCCTATCAAGCTGGAGTACCTGACCAAAGATCGTGATTCGTATGATGGTTCGCAACATCATCATGATCGCTGGAAGAATAAAGGCACCACCTCCACCGGTGTCTGGACAGGTCAGACTCGCTTCAAGATCAACGCCTGTGATCGAAAAGCTGCCCATGAACAGTTCTATGCTGTTTCTCAAGGTCAGAAGACCATGGCGAAGAAAGCAGACAATGAAGTCAGTGAGCGACACCTCTGCCTTGCCGACCGCCTCTCGTTCACAAAAGCAAAGCAAAAGGAGCTCGAGTCCTTCTTCACCAACAACGTTTGGACCTTTGATGATCCAAAGAATGCTCCTAGTGAACGAATCCTGACGGCTCGCTTCATTTTGACTTGGAAAGTGCAACCTGACAAGTCAACAAAAGCAAAGGCTCGCTTAGTTTTGAGAGGATTTCAAGATCCCGACGCTCTTTCTGGTGCATTGAATACAAACTCTCCCACCTTGACAAGACTGAGCCGAGGAATGATTTTGTCGATTTGCGAGATGCTTCAGTTTCGACATTTTACCTCGGACATCAGCACTGCCTTTTTGCAAGGAAAGCCTCATGGACCTGAACGAGTTCTCTGGGTTCGTCTCCCCAAAGACGCACAAAGGCTCCTTGGTATAAAAGATGGTGAGGAGAAAGTCATGAAATTGCACAAGAGCATGTATGGTCTTGTTGATGCACCGCGCAGCTGGTACGTCGAGGCCGTTTCGAGGATCCTGAGCATCCCTGGCATCAAGCAACACCCATTGGACGCTTGCATGTTCATGATTTTTGATTTGGACATGCCCAATCAGCTGAACCCTGAAGAACCTGGCGCCCTTGTTGGTTTATTTGGCATCCATGTGGATGATTTGGTCGGAGGTGGCAACATGGATTCACCCCGCTTTTTGGAGGTCAAAGAACAACTGCAAAAGCTCTTCACCTTTCGAATGTGGCTGGATTCTGGCGAACTTGAGTATTGTGGCTGTAAGATTGAGAAGAAGGAGAACTACACCATCCTCCACCAGTCGCACTACATTCACAAGATGAAGCCAATTTCGCTGCCAGAAGAGCGAAAGAAGCAGAGCAACTCCTTGCTGACAACAAAGGAAACTTCCATGCTCAGAGGCCTACTAGGTGGTCTTCAGTGGCCATCAACGCAGACAGCACCCTTTTTGCAATGTTCAGCTTCCCAGTTGTCCGGTGAGATCACTCGGGCTACGGTGGACACCATCGATCGGGCCAACAAAGTTCTCAGGATGGCAAAGACAAATGCTGACGCTGGTCTTCGCTACCATGCCCTGAATGGTGATCCAAGGGAAGTGACCTTCTTGGGCTACACGGATGCAAGTTTTGCCAGTCGAAAAGATCTGTCCTCTCAGGGCGGATTCTTGGTCCTGATGGTTCACAACTCCATCCTCAAAGGAGCAACTGGCGAATACAATGTCATTGATTGGAGGTCATGGCGTTTGCCTAGAGTTGCCCGTTCTTCCTTATCGGCTGAAAGTCAAGCTGCTTCAGAGTGTGCTGATTCCATTCTTTTTGTCACCACCTTTTGGAAGATTTTGTGGCAACCACATCTGGCACTAGAGGATGAGAAGACACCCGTCCTTGTTCATCCACCTTCGATGGTGCTGGACGCAAAAGCCCTCTACGACCTGCTGACCAAGGACGAGATCCAAGCAGCATGTGGCGCTGATAAGCGCACGGCAATAGAAACGTTGGTTTGTCAAGACAAACTTCGCGCCTGCCGAGCTTCAGTGAAATGGGTGAGTTCGGAGATGCAGTATGCTGACAGCCTCACGAAAGCAGATAGCTCGCAATTGCTGGCTGACCGCTTGAGGACGCATGTCACGAAGATCACCTCCGACGAAGGCTTTCAAGCTGCAAAGAAAAAGGATGCCCAGACCCGCAAGCGAAACACAGAGATGTTTGCAGTAAAGCGTGCATCGAGAGCCATGCAGGCTATGTTCATGATGGGTTCCACAACACTCGCACAAGCAACGCATAACACCACTACAACCTCAACTTCACCTACTACAAGTCTATGGGTTCTATGGGGAACTTTTCTCCTTGGTCTTCTGTTTCTTCTCCCTTTCCTTTGGACGATGGTCCCCTGGAAAAAGCTTTGGCCGAAAGAAGACCCCCCCTGACTCAGAGGACAATGTGACCTTGGCTGAGGACAACACGACCAATGCAAGTTCTCAGACCGAAGCTTCGAACCTGACCGACTCCTCGACCATGACGGAGTGGGACCTGCCGACCTTTCAGCGTCGTTTCCGCGAACGCACACGACAGCTTGCGGATTTGCAGGTGACAAACCATGTTCTTCACGAAGAACATCGAGCTCTCATGGAAGAGCATGAAGTGACGGTGAACGACCGTGAAGCGCTCATCGACGCGTTCAACCAGTTGAAGGAAAACTTTGAAACTGTCAAAGAGCAGCGCAATGCCATGAAGGAGCGCTACATCGAGATCCAAAGGATCTTGCATGATGTTCAATTTGAGAAGGACCAGTTCATCAAAGAAAGGATCGTGACGATCATGGAGCAACTCGATCGGCAGAGCTTCTACTTCACCAGAAGCGGCACCGTGTTTCATCGAGATCGAGCTTGTTTGGAATGCCGGTCCATGCATGAGATTCAAGAAAGAGCACCTTGCTCTTTGTGCATCGGCGCTTTTGGCAGGACAATGCTGCGCCAGGCCCGTGAGATTCTCGGCATCCCCACCAACGACGACTACTGGTCGTTGAGCTTCCGAAGAGAACGCCGTGAAGCCGGATTTGATGCGCCATAGAATTTAGAATTCTTTTTGGAAGAAAGACCTTGCACCTGGTGCCAGAGCGCACACGGCCCGAGGAACTTAACTCCCTTTTTCCACCTGTGTTGATTTCACGCTGTGAAACCTGAGAACAGGTGATGACCTTTGTTTTTCGCCGCCGCTTTCCACCGCTCAAGGGCGGGCTTGCGCATGTCGGCCTTTTGTGGCTACGCTCCTTGGTGACGACCTTCACCAACCCGATCGCTCCTTGGAAAAGAGAGCGCCTTCCATTTGTGCCGGACTTAGTGTGCTGGCCGCCGAGAGATCGACAACTTCATTTTCCCTTTTCTACTTCACCTACACCTCCCTACAACACAACAGACACCCTGAGCTGCCAAATTGTTGATCTCAACAATAGTGTTTTTATATATAATGTTTTTTGTTTTTTCTGGATGATCAAGAGATTTGTAGACTGGGCTCTTCAGTGCATGTGTCTGTCGTCGTTGACTCGAATGAACACTTTGTATAGACTCTAGATGAATCAAACATACATGGAATTTCCCATTGACACAGCCACAGCTTCTGAATTGTTCAATCCAAGACCCCAACGCCATGATGCAAGCAGCCACGATGACACCGGCCAAGACCTCGCATCGATGCCAGTCCCGCAGGAAGAAACAACGACCTACCACCCTTCCGTAATAGCGATGGCCTCCCACCTAATAGCAAGGTTAGAGAAAGAACATGTGCAATCAATCCTAGGTCTCAAGCTGATGTGATAGCCTGCAAGCACATACACGGCAACTGTGGATTCACATCCCCCATGTCGGTGCTGACGATGGGATTCAAACATTGAAAATTATTGAACATTGAAACCTGTCTCTCGTCACAAGGTTCACTTGCTTGACATGTGCTGGGGCTGAAGTTTCAGGGCACACTTAATGGGGAAAGCGCCATGCTACTGGCGACTTGTCGAATCACCAAAAATGCGACAACTCTCAAGCGTTTCCCGCAAAGTCTCGTGTAGACCGGGTGATTTGAACAAAGAGACCTGGTGTTCTGCTGCCCCAAAGTTTTCAAAGTACTAGCAATTACCGTTGTGATGATTCGGATGATTCTGCTCAAATACGACTATGTCTCTCAATTGTAGGATTAACTTAACACGCCTCTTGAATGTGAGCCGAAGTCATACACTCTTGTCTTTGCCGGTTGCTGGCATCTGTTAAGCATCCGTTCGTGTGTGAGGCGTTCGTGTCGGCCACTCCATGCCGGCCACTTCGTCCGATGACTCGGCGAAGAGTTCAGCCTCCGGCAAGTCCATGCCAAGCAAGTAAGCCACCTGAAGGAGAACACCAAGAGGACCAAATCGACCTCCCCTCAGCAAGTCTAGCATATGTCAGCTGAGACAGCTGCCATAGCACCGGTCCATGCTCCAGTACCAGGAAGTGGAACTCCGACAAACCTGATTCTTTCCACTTCCATCACGTGGGCATTCTCAAAATGCTGTCTCAAAATTCCTGCATTCTAAGCTACTCTCATTCAAAATGCGCTTGCTTCGCTGTGCTTGAATGCGTAAGATGCTGGCGCTGCTACGCCAACCCACCGATCATGCGCTCCAATCGGTTCTGTCTTCCTAGAGCAAGCGATACACTTCAAATATAGTACCTCTAAACATGTAGCTTGCAACGCTTTACAAACACTAAATCACGAGACGCGCTCTTAAAGATCTTAAAGGTCAACGACAATGACATCAAGACCAGCGTCGCAGGAAATAGTACACTAAGAGCTGCACTGAGCTGCACGCTTTAGCAGCGGGGACAGAAGCTTCTTGATCCTTTCGCTCCTGCTAAAAATTGCACAGGCACAGTGGCAAACTCAATAAGATATGCATGATAAACATATATGACATGTATAAACACTATTGTGAAATGTGTCCTGAGTGCGGTCAGAAGAAATGGTATAGGAATCATGTTGCCAAGGATGCAAAGAAGCATCACCTGGAGCACGTTCAAAGCGTTCATCGCTGTTCTCAAAGAACAAGCACGTGGCACTGCCTGTGGCACTGCCAACCCCATCCAAAGGCCAACGGGAACACCACCACGAAGCTCAACCTAAATGGCGGGCGAGAAGGACAACTGGAACATATGAAATGTATGAAATGGAATTGGCACTCCTTGGTCGTTTGCCAAAGGGAGCGCCGAAAGTAGCATCAAAATGGCCCAGTCCTTCAGTTTGCGGGAAGAAGAATCATGCCACAAGTGATGAATCATTATATAGAAGTGGCAGATTTCTTGGCATCCCACTGGGATGGCAAAGCTTGCTTTCATCTTCATTGCCAACTGAACGCCCAAGTGAGGCCTTGATTCTGTAGTGTCACAGTGGATTGATTGATGAACAGCTACACAATCTTGCAAAAGAGAAGCTTGCCCACACCAGTTGCCACAGCTGCTGCCTGCCAGTTCATACAAAGCGACTTTTGAGATCAAGAGCTGTGAAGCGGAAAACCCAACAAACTTTCATCATCAAGGTCAGTGAGTGCATAAATATGCATAAATGCATCAACATGCATCCACATGACACGGCACGAGTCATGCATCAAGAGTCCAGCCTTGGCTCCCGAGACACATGCCAAGAAACCGACACCAAGCCCGAGCAGAACGCCGACAGCTGGACCTCGCCAGCATAGAGGCTAAGCAAACAATCACATGTCAGTAGTGACTTCTTACATCACTGACTCAATCTGCGTTCAAGGAACGTCTGATGTGTTGCGCTGGCTGTTCCTTGGGGCAAAATGCAAACTTGCTAGCACAAGCTTGCAGCCGATGGTCGCCCACCCCCATCTTGGTCGCCGGCTCTGCCAACACTCAAGGCCTGTCGCCTCATTTTGTGGTGGGATAACGCAATCGGCGCAGCTCTCCGCTCTTGGGCTATGGCTTTCGATTTGTTCTCAATTGCACTCCTGGCTCAATGTCTTTCAGCAAGGGCCACTAAATGGAAGTGTATGAGAAATAGTCGGCAAGACGCCTTGGAAGAAGGGAAATAAACCAACATCAATTGGTTGCAGGTCTGGATATTCCAATAAACGCTCAAAATGCTCCTTGTTGATCCTGATAGAAGTGTGCCAGGCTGTCACTGGCTTGTACTCATCGAGAGTGACAATTTACACCAAGTTCTCCCAGAATCACGTTACGTCTTCATTTGGTGGGGGGGAACAAGATCTGTTGCATTCTTTTGCAGGGACTTGCATGACCAAAAGAAGACATGATACGACATGCCCCTTCATTACCCTCCCACACCATCAATGTACTTTTTTGGTGACTATGGGGTCTATACATTGAAAGATATTGAAAGCATACCTTCGCGGCTGCCTTTGGGACACGCATTTCAGTGCAAAGGGTGCCTTCGCGCCTTTCTCGGACGTTTTGGGACATACAAAATACACAATCACCCTTTTAAAGATCTGTGCCAACGCAAAATCATTGTGGAACCCAATCAAGCAATTTGGTGTTGCATACCTACCCGCATGCACACAACTCATAATCCTACAAAAATTATATATCACACATTGTCTTCCAGGTCTGCCAATGTCATGCGCAGTTCCATCTTCACATAAAACCTCACATACCAACAAACTATACTCACATAAATGCCTTATATTGCATCACTATATACGCGTTCCATTTCATTCCCGACGAGGGGTTGCGCAGTCCTTTTTATAGCTACAATGTTTGGGACATTCAGAAATGGAATTGAAGATAGAACATAGAAAACATTCTCTCTACAAATGGAATCACAGGATAGGCTGCTCATTTTGCTGAAGTTGGTGCAATGCAATAGACAAAGTGTTTGCTGATGTTTGTTCACTTTATACAAGACATATTGACATGCAATGCCAAATGTCTGGAATGATCACTAAACTACTGAGGTTCGAATTTTGATTTTTGTAGCAGACCCAAACCGATTATGAGTTCTCAAAAAAAAAAGGGGTGCCTGGCACCAAGATGTGGCACACGCAGGCGCACGTTTCGATGTGGTTCTACAACATTCCGCACATCTTTACGACAAACAAGTTTCTTGATACGTTGACTGAGAGTGGTTTAGTGGTTTGCCCAACTCTGGTCATCCATCGAAATGTTTTCATCAGGCGAGTAATCCTTTTGCGTTTCGCTGAATCTTTTCAACAAAAGACAAACAAGGCCAAATGAATCCTTGCCGAAGGGAATTCCTGGCTCATGCCAAGCCAAACACAGGAGCGCTCCTATGCTCCTGGCAGAAACGCCTGGTCTCGAATAATGAAGACCAGGGCTCGATGCCTGGCAGGACTTCAGCGGCTAGTGGGGGACAATGTCTTTTGTAATCCCTGTACTAATTTGTCACGAGCATCACAGAGCTAAGAGCCATGCCAGAGCGAAGTTCGCAAAGTTCACTTGGACTGGCAATTGTTTGTCACAGCACCTCAGGTAAATGGCCACATTTGGGTGACATGGGCAGCCCAATATGTGCGTCAAGCTGCTGATATAGCAGTGCTCCCGCAGCCCCGGCAAAAAAAGCACCTTGCAAACATCCCAATGACTTGCTGCAAACAAACTCATGTCGCAGTTGCGTCCAGTCAATAGACAAAAGGTGGGGTGCAAATTCACTTGTAGGATTGTTTCTGGTCGTCCTGGGCGATCGACAGTGTCGAAAGGGATGAGCAAGTAAGTCTGGAACATCTCTCAAATAGCATCCGTTCTCAATAGTTGACAAATGTTGATAACATAATCAAAAAAACAACGCTTCCTGGTGCGGCTTAGCTAGGCCACATATGCCCTTGTGTGCTGCCTCCAGGGCCCTGACATGGACCCCGGCGATCCCGCATTTTAAGCATTGCAGCATTGCCGTCCCAACCGGGCTACCCCCCCGCAAAAAAAACAGCCGCGCTCACAAGACAATCAAACGAAGAAAGCCAAGCATGGAGTCTAGTGTCGGTCAAGGAAAGGAAGGTAAATAAGACCTTTTCTTGGCGCTTCAGAAGCGCAGCATAAATATGAAGGGTGGAGCTTCAGTTCACACCCGCCAGTGCTCGCTTTGGGATGCGCCACTCCTGCCACAGGCAAGCATGAAGCCTCTGCAAATCTGATATCCTACCTCTCAAGGTTGAGCTCCGAACTGCACCATAAAGCTTTTCAACACACCTTGAGACAGAAAATGAAAAATCCACAATGACTCGCCAAATGAGATGGCATGCATGCTCGTTCTTCAACATCACCGGGCAAAAGCGTCTGATTCTAAGAAAAGAAGTGCCAAACTCTCTCAAAACACCTGTATATTGCAGAGTTCCACATGCATTGACTGACAAGCTTAAAGGTTGACCCAACTAACACCATACCTTTTGCAAGGCCTAGTTGTCCACACTAGCGCACACGAGTCCTACAGTAAGTGTCTGGCGCCCTTGGCCGCGCTGGCGCTGAGAAGTTCCTGCCACGGATGGCCAGCTCAGTGACACCCAAAGGCTCGACCTGGATGTTTGGCATCTCTGCAAGGTGTTCATACAAGTATTCTGCAAGGTTTTCAGCACATTGCACATAATTTTTTCGATTTGCAAACCTTTTTTGACAAAATAAAACAGAAACAGGCAACTAATTTTAAACTAGACGTATCTCAAGGATGGCCAAGGACCAAATTTATGAAATATTTCTCTTGGATGTGTCATACAAGCAACTTGACACCCAGTGTGTTGCTTTGCAATGCTTTCTATGCATAGATCATTCTGCCAGAGCCACGCAATCCACCAAGTGAAGATCAGTGATTTGCCACCAGTCACTGGCATAGATCTCAGCACATGGATGCACTTCGAGAAAGCAGGGAGGGTTGGTGCTTTCCGCTGTTTCCTTAAGCCTTATATAAACCTTCTCAACACATGAACACTAATTTTGAAGATCCCTGCATTGACAGTGCAGCATGGGATTTGTCAAAGTCACAAGAAAAAGCAAAACGGGCAGTTGCAACGGATAAGCATGTGGCGTCCAGGTGAAAGTCGGTTGGTCGGCTGAAGCGGTCACTTTCTTGCCTCGAAGGTCGTGTGATGTGCTTGCTGGCTTGATGTGGCTTTGCATCTGAGCACAACTCCCACCGACAATTGATGTCGCAAATCCTTCCCAGTCTGCGCAAACTCGGGAAACTTTCTCCTTGCAGGTCAAACAAAAAACATCAAATCATCAAATAGTCATTTTTGCCACAGTGCAATCATGTGCAATCTAACTTTAAGAATACATGCACTATTGCACTATTGACTTTGGCATATTCCAGCCATTTCCAGTCTATGTCAGCTTCTTCATTGCATTTCGATGCCTATTGAAACAGTCACACGGACGGCGAACCCCTCCGAAGACGGACCGTTCCCACCTCCCATTGGTCCACCCCGAAGAGATATCGTCGTCCACCGAAAAATTCTGCAGCCTCCCAATATGTTTCAATGACATGTCCATGACACTTGTCTATGACACTTGTCCTGTTTGGTGCTTGACGGCCATTGAGAAGAGTTTTACGTTCTGAAGCATTGAGAAGCTGAGTAGATAGAAAGATATAGAAAAGCTCGCCAGGAAGTCTTTCACGAACCCAATAGATGCAACATGACGCAACGAACCATAGATAGCTACGAACCCGAACCCGGTAGATAGCTGCGTAGGGACGACGTAGGGACGCAGCGAACCCGGCATGGCGTGCCTCCAAGCCTTGCTGCAGCTTGGGCCAATGGGAGCGATCGATCACGATATCCATGTCCTCGTCCAAGTCCAAAAATGTGCTGCATCAGATTTCCATCAAAAGTGGTTTTTCATGTTCATTACACAGATTTCCTGCTGACCTGTGTCCACGGCAGGATATCGCTCTGTCTCAGAGCACCTTCAGCTCCAACAAAAGAAGTTCTGGGCTTGTTTTGTGTCATCTCTATTTAGTCAGGGCACCAAGCAAAGTTCCGTAGGTGATGAAATAGGGTATACCTTGCTGCTTCAGCCAACCAGTGATGTCGTTGAGCATCACCAACATGTAATCACTGCAGCAACCGTACCTGACAAGACTCCAGTTCTCGTTGCTCTGAGTAGCTGGAGCGTTCTACAAGAAGTGAAGCGCACGGAGTCTCCAATGACCTGCTGTCAAGAGAGAGGAAAAGCAACAAATGCATGCAAATGTGAGAACAAAGACAAGAAGTCTCACGCTCATGCAGGCCTTGCTGTACTCATACAAGTTGCATTTCTGTCACACTTTGGCGTGCGGCAGGAGACAGACTGCCAGGACGCGCAATGCACAAGGCAACTTTTCTTGAGTTTGAAACTTGTCAGCCAAAAAAAGTTGTTGACTGTACAGGAAGTGTCGCGAATCATGAACTGCCACAGCAAAGCTATACACTAAGCTTATCAGCATATCACTGTGGGTGTGTCGGTGTGACCAACAGCGGAGCAAGTGGGACCGAGTAACAACCGAATGTGAGGTCCGAAAGGCTTCATGGACTGTGACTTTGACAAGCTTTGACAAGGGATGCCTTGGGAAGATGTATACCCTCCGTTCCTTTTAACGCATTTCCAAGTCGACAAGCATTTCTGCGGTTGAGTCGCTAGCTAGAGCGCTATCTGATGAACTCAAAACGCCCATATGAAAAACATATGATAGCTCAATACGTCCAAAGAACGAGGTCATCCTTTTGTGAATTAACGAGGTCATCATGGTCATCCTGAATCCTCTTGCCTGAATGGTTGGAAGAAGGCTGAGGTCTCTCTTCAGGCTCGGAGGTTCTTTCGGTCCAGACCTGATAAAGTCAGGTCTCTTCAAGTGTTGGGCCAAAAGACAATGGCATCTCATTCAACGGAACCGAAGGAGTCTAAAATGGTTCAACTCTGGATCTTTGCACATAGTGTGGCTTGCCAGGAAATTTTGTGCTGCGAAGCATATCAACCCGGCCACGATTGAATATATTGAAAGGCGATGCACAACGGGTCACAGCTTCGTCCATGCAGAACAAATTCTCGATTCTAAGTGAATGACTCGTAGGGACTGTAGCTGTCGCCTTTTCCGCGGAAAACACGGATCCCCACGACTCTTCGGTGACAACATATGACACCGAGGTGACCATGAAACTCAGCATATGTTGAGACCCAAACAAACATAAACAGCATAATAGAAAGCTACAACAGGATGCAAACATTGAAGGAAACATGAGGAACACTCATGAACACCCTATCGCAACTTTGCTTTGAACACTATTCGTGTGAAATGACAAGAACAAATGCATTTGAATACCACGTTTCCATGGGGATTTGACATGGTAAAGTTGTGCGTTTTAGGGTGACAAAGCCTGAAGCAAACCTGAACTTTGCATTGTGTTTTACTCCCTGCGAGAAAAACATGCTTCCTCCCTCTCGCAGCTACTGCGAAAGTACTAAAGTTATCAGACTGGTTGAAATACAGACATAATGGGAAACCATAGAGATCCAAGGGAAACGACCTTTGGAGGGATGACATGGATGAGAGGAGGGAGGACACGTCAGAACCTTTTTCAAACGACAAAACTTGTACCGAGAGTGCATCAGGACAGGGTAGCAAACAGTAGTTATAAGTTATATATATATATGTGGCCATCCGAATATCCCAAAAACAAATACATTCCATCTCATGTGGTATTTGGCAGTGCCTGAAAGTCTCAAAACATTTGCAAACATGACCTATATAATACAGTATAAACATATGCCCGTCAGTGGGGGGGCCTGATGCATGGGATAGCCCAAGAATTTGTCGCAGTTCCTTCAAGCAGAAAGACTCTAGCATTTTTCCCTATTAGTGGCTGCATAAAATACAGTGCCTGAAGACTGTGTGTATATATATATATTGTATGCATTTGTATGCATAATAGATATTATACGGCCTTAGTGGCTGCTCAGATTCTGCTTTTAGTGGCTGCATCTAGGAGGACTGGAGGACTCTTGAGCAACCCGTTCCGACTTCCAGAAATGGATCCGATCTCGCCTCGATCGTAGCGGCCACCATAAAGATCAGCTGCTTTGCCTCTCAAGACTTACAATGTTTATCCAATGTTATATTGTTTTAAATGGACGTAAGGTGTGCAAACATGAACAATTGCCTCAATGCATCGATACTGTCCCCTTGCGTGTTGTTTCTTTTTTTTAACGTATTGCTTGGTAGAAGCTCCACAATTTCAAGCAGTGAAATTGCTTACTGAACACACCTACAGTATATCTGCAAAATATGTCTGGAATTCCTGCGTCCCCCAGGGAATCGCAAAGCTTGCAGCGTTTGGTACCCACGGACTGGAAGTTGTATCCAGTGAATAGTAAAAAGAAGCCAGGATGATTTATTCATATTTGTCCATTATATATTCAGTTGCGGAAGTTGCTGATAATGCTTCAGACTTCAAACATGATCAGGGTTGGGCAGCTCTGAGCTTGCTCTTTGGCTACTCACTCCTCTCCTTGCCTGAGATGGCTACCGTGTCCATGCTCAGCAGGGTACAAACAAACCCTGGCCTGTTGGATCCTGTTGGTCTACTAGGGGCGCTCCTGGCCTTACTACTATGATTTGGATTTCTCGCTTCTTGGATCTTGGCACAGCAAGTTCTCATAGAGAAAGATTGTCGCATGTCAAGTTCTCACCGCCTGCTTGGCAGTCCACAAGATTCTGTTCCATTTTGATTCTTTAGTTGACACCTCTCCAACAATTTATGGCTGGCAATCCCAGCTGCACGCCGAAAGGATGAAAGAGACAGAGCGAATTTGGTTTCTGAACGTCTGTTGACATCTTGCATAGAATTGGCATGAAATGGCTACATATTATACTTGCAACGTGTCACATCCTGTGACAAGAAAAGCAAGCAGCTTGTTGAGTTGAGCAAAGCTGGGGTGCCTCCAGCACCATAACCAAATCCATAGCCGTACTGAGACCTCATGTGCTGCCGAAGGCACAAAATGCCAAGTCAACATGCCACATCCCTTGGTGGTGAGCTCGTGAGATGCCAGTCGTAGCAAGATCTCGAACCTCCAGTGATCCAAGCCAAATCGCCAAGAGAGAAACACCTTTAAAAAAAGAAAACATTTAAACCCAAACAACATGAAGCAGCAACTTGACTCTGTTTGCTCAACCTGTTGACTCGCACATCTGCGTCTGCTTCAACTTAGGTGCAAACTCATCCCAACGAGCTGCAGATTCTTCCAATCCAAGTGACTGCGCCAGCCTGAAACTGCGCTTACTTACCCGATGGTTGCACATGTTCCTGTCACCAAAAAAACGGTTCTTCCGACCAGTGCCTGGTCGTCATGTTGGAGTCAATTTCACATCTGGGTACCTCTGACCGACGCCTCGGTGAGTGATCCGGTCTCGGAGGCCAACAAGTGAAAACAAGTGCACATCTGACAGTAAGAAGCAAGCATTGCAAGCTCTTGGGTTATGCGGAAGAGTGCCTCGCAGCGTCGCAGAATGGAGATCTCTAATGTCCCCTGCTAATCAGCCAATTTCTGCTATAGAACTTGTCCTTGCGTGGTTCCTTTTAGATCCTTCCGCAATGCGGCCCAGAAACTGTGCCAGCAAAGCCTCCAAAGGCAAAGAGCACAGCTATCATACCTGGTGGACCGTACATGACATTGTTGCAACGACTCGGTCTGTGTCATCTCACCGCTGTGCAAGAATCGCTGAAAGGGGGGGGGTCTGTAGAGCTGCTTACTGTTGAAAGCAGTTCGTTGAAGTGATCATGCTTGAACTCCCTGCACGAACAGCAATATGAAATCCATGGCCCACTGGGAGAAACCCCTTAGCCTGACCCTGTAGGCCCTTTACCGCCGAGGGAACCCCTTGGCGCGCACGCATGTGGAGACATTGAATGGGAGATCCAAGAGCCCCACCGAAGAGCAGCTGTGTTGTTGAGCGAATGCTGGATGGCATCTTAGAGTCCTGGGCCTCGTAGCACAATGACACTTCAAGGTCACTATATGACACTGGAATGTCACTATGATTATGTTTTTTTTTCATGTTCTTTCTCTCAGCTTCTTGACTTTGATGTGAAAAATGTGAAAGGAATGCCTTAGGCCTTTCGTCTTGACTCTGAGAAGACTAAGCCCCAATCGCGGCTGATGCAGGCCCACACACTCGTTAGGAAGAGTGCGATGGAGAGGCCAACGGCAAATTCCACCTGCAACATATATAGTGAAGATTGAGTAGCGTCATTCTCCGAACAAAACATGTTCCTGTTTCCAAAAATGTTCTCAGTTCCCTGCCTTGAGGGCAGCGCCTGGGAGGCGCTGGCTGGCCGAATGGCCTTCATGTCCTTCGACGCGAGCGGCGCCGCTATAGCCGCTAGCACCTGCGACCGTAGCCAACCACATGCAAGGTGCCTTATGACCTACCCCGTGCCTTTGCTGGCATTTCTGGCTGGTCTGGACGGCAATTGGAGCAAGGCATTCTGCCAGAACGCCGTGGTCAAAGAATGAAACTGTCACATATTGGTTTCAACGGCTGACTCTTCTTGTGGTCGTTTCTTTACGTGCCAACCGTAGCACAGCAGCAGGCTTTCTGCAGGCCTCTCTTTCGCCCAGGCGGACACGCCGCACAGCATTGTCGTAATAACCTAGCAAAGGATGCCAAAGCGTTTCGCAAGCTTGCAAGCTAACCACCACCGCACCTTCGTTGGAAATGCCTCCCGCCACGTATGAGCACGTCCTTCCTAGCAGCTCAAATGACCGAGGTCGAATTCATCTGCTTTTCCCAGCCCATGCCTAGCAGTTCTTCCGTTTTGGTCTTGCAGGGTGCAGCCACGGCTGAAGCATGCATAGTCCCGTGCCTTGACAGCCATCTGCCTTTTACCACATGCCTATTTCCCTCCTTTGAGTCAAGGCCCGCGCGTCCATGCTAAAGTGTCCGAGGGCAACGGCCACCAGCTAATCCCATCTGCTGAGATCCATGCAGTGGCCTGCGCTCTGAACGTTACATGATGTTGTCATGATATTACACATTAAGCTGTTACATCATGCATGCATGTTTTTTTTGCAGGGGCGACGGTTTCAACCATCAGTTTTTGCTAGTGCTTGTCAAACATGTTGCTTTTCATCAAACTGCATATGAAAGAAGGTCGGGAGGGGTGGGGATAGTC